CTTTCCTTTCACACCTTGGCTCGTTCCTTTTATCCTGCAGATAGCTGCTTAAATGCCACCTCCTCCAGAAAGCTTTCCTTGCCTATTCCTCCATTATCGCATGCCTCTGTTTATGTTATTTAAATCTTTGAACAATCTGTGATTATCCTGTTTATTTATTTATTACCTAATGCCTGAATCTAGCAGTTACTTGACCACAGTCCTTACACCTGACCTCTGAGCCAGCTGTCTGTTTTTCTTTCTCCAGAGACTTGAAATCCTGACAGCTGATTTCCCCACGCAGACACCCTGATCCTCACCCAGAGCCCTCTCCCCCGCACATGCAGCTCTTGGCTCCTCTGTGCAGGGGACGCTTCCTCCAAACCCCCATTTCCGTTGGAGCCGATGTGTATATGTAGCAGGGACTTCACTGGGAAGAGTGAAGCTATATTCACAGCCTGCATTTGAAGGAAAAGACGCCAGGATCTGAAGGGATACCACGCTAAGGCTTAGATGCAGTGTAACAGACTCAGTGAGAAGTCACCTGGAAATGAAGTGACTTCCGTGAAATAATGCTTAGGCTGAATGAAGGCCAGCACTTTCTGATCTATCACCCATTGCACCACCGGCCTGAGACAAGTCCAGCGCTTCCAAACGGGCGTTGTTCTCATTCTTTCAGGCATTTTTGATTTTATTACGTAAGTGAGCCATTCCATTGTCATGTTTGAACCAGGTTTCCTTCGGGCCGTTTCTCAGGGGTGCCTGAGGGATGGGGTTCCCTGCTTTCACTAACATTTCCAGTTCCCTTTCTTGGTGCCCACACTCTCGGTTCTCCCAACTCCTCCTCCATGCTGGACATACAGGCTCTCTAAGGTCTCTGTGCCACTCCACCTGCCGTTCTCACCTTTGACCGGACACAGCGTTGGATCAACAAGCCTCAACTCAACGTCCTTCAGTGTCCCTTCCCCAAATATGTGCCACTGCACCTGCCGTTCTCTCTGCCCTTTGACCGGACACAGCGTTGGATCAACAAGCCTCAACTCAACGTCCTTCAGTGTCCCTTCCCCAAATACCTTTCCCCCAATGCCAGGGCATCTCCAAATGACCCATAATTACGTCATGGCCAGCCTCGCCTAGGCCGAGAGTCCCAGGTCGGGCTGCGTTGATCCCATTTGCGTGTCTGGTTCTGGAGCACAGCTTGGCACACCCGGGACTGGACCAAATTCACATCTGGACAGTCGTCTCAGCACTCCTTCCCCCCCGCCCCCCATTTTTTTTTTTGAGAGTTTTTTTTTGCTATAGGGCACATGTGCTCGCCAGACAGACAGAGAGAGACAGAGAGATAGGAAGAGAGAAATCACCCCCCAGGGGGGATGGCCACACAGCAATCCCTTCTCCTCCATTCTCCTCTCGGGATCTTGGGCATGCACGCACACGTGCCCGGTGTGAGTTTAAGTCACCGGGTCCGGGACTCAAACTGTGGTCGACTACGTGGGAGTCTAGCAACATAACCATTACGCTAACTGCTGGTCCCAACTCCTTCCCCTTTTTTTCCCTTGGGCATTGGCATCTTTGCCACCTTCTTCTGACCACGATCACCCCCTTCTGTAAGGATCTGGTCCTGTGGCATGATCTGGGTTTGTTTCTTCCTTTCCCCAAACCTCCATTTGAATTAGTTTTCAACGGGTCCCCGACTTTCCTTCCAAGGAGCTCCTTCCCAAACTGGGAGGCGTTCCTTGTTCCCTCCTGGAGCGTGCTGCTCTGACTTTCCAGTCCCACCCAGGACAGCAAAAGCTATTCACCATCACCAGATAGACTGTCTTCAGGCTGTATTTTTCAAGATCTCTTATCTCTCCCTCACAACTTGAGACTCGCAAGAAGAAACAGAAACATCACCTTGATCAGCCAGTTCTCTTGCTGGGCCTTGGACTCATGGAAGACACATTCCAGATTCCTTTTGACTACATCCTGGCCCTTGTGGAACTGTGGCCATGGATGCATCAGCCTTACTCGGCTGGTGGAGCATACATCCTAAAAAGCGGGTCTCTGATGCTTTGTATTTTAAGTGTCTTTTAGGACAGGTGCCTAACTGGACAGCACCCAATAGTACCACCCTTCTTTGACCTGCTAATAGAACTCTGCTATGCTGAGGCAGCAAGTAGAGACCCCTTGATCTCAAGGAGGGTGACTGCCACTCTCAGGAAGATGACAAATGACAGGTAGAAAGTTGTCATTCTAATCCCCCTTGCCATTTATTGGTCAAGCCAGACCTAACTGTAACCGAAAAGATGTAAGAGGCAAGGGTACTAATAAAGCAATAGAGTCCCCTCTTCCTACTTCTTGTTTTCAGAACAAGCTTAATGGCTGGGATCACAGCAGCCACTTTGCGACCATTAGGAAAAGGTCAAAAGAAATGCAGAGCAATTGCACCAAGTACCTCCAGGTTCTGTTAAGTGAGAAAAATAAACCATTATCCCTTCAATCCTCTATAGTTGGTTTTCCTTTACCTGCTACTAAAAGCACACCTGACTGACTGCCCACCAGGTCTTGGCGGATTGTGACTCACTGTAGCAGGTTGTTTCAGGGACAGTGATGTCATCTGAACTGTGTACAGCAGGGACACCTTGCCTTGTGTATTTGTATTCGACAAAGATAATTTCTCCCTAAAGAGTACTACAGTTTCAAAATAAACACAATTGAAGTTAGTTTCCTTTTGAAGATTTAGGGTGAATTGGTTACCTGCCTTGAAATTACTAGGCCGTGCCAGACTGTTCTGTAAGAAAAGAAATTCATTGCTTAAGCTATTATTGGCATGTCACTGCGCTGTAATTGTACTCATTGAAGACTCTGATTTTTAAAGAGAGAAATCAACTCCTAGACCCATCCTTTCAGCCAAATAAATGCTCTTGATGGCTGGCTAAGAAGGTAGGAGAAGTGAACGGTAAAAATACCTTCAAGTTAATACAGTTTGCATCCATTAACAGAGGAGCTGAAATCCTTGGAAGTTCCAAAGCAGTGAAGGGCCAATGGCACAGACTTTAATCTCTCAGAGGCACTCATGTGCAAAATACTCCCCTCAGCCTGTGCATGTAATAACAATAATTACACAGCGGCCAGCACTCTGGGAAGGATGTTCTGATGTCCTGAAGGTGCCCTGGCCCCGTTCCTCCCTGAAAGCGAGGCCTATGCAGGCTGTAAGATTCCTGTACTTGTCAGGGAAGGACAAGCCACATCCAGGGACTCACAACTCACCTAACAATGGTCCTTGTGACCTCGTCGGGCTCCATGTCTAGCAGCCTTGGTACTCAGTGTTTGGACCTTGGATCTGATGACCTATTACCTTGGGAATCTAGACCCTTCGCCTGCAGCTTCCAGGCTCTACCCTGGGACGGAGTCATCTGACATCACAGTGAAAGCCTTTGGGATGAAGAGGAAATAGATCCTCCCTGCTTTGCTCCACAGTATCTGAAAGACCCTGAAAGACCTTCCAAGGTTACAGACTGAAATCGGCTTAGCGCGAAGCCTGTTTTCATTTCCTCCTGAACATTTTTCACACCACAGAGACGGTGGAAAAGAGGGCTCCCTCAAGATGACAGTAAGCCACCCCAGAGAGCGTTTCTTAGTGCTTTTCTGCACAAGCCAACCGTGCTACCACACCAACCATGCTACCAAGCCAACCGTGCTAACCACGCCAACCACGCTAACCACGCTAACTGTGCTACCACGCCAACCGTGCTAACCACTCCACCTGTGCTAACCATGCCAACTGCTAACAACACCAGCCTCGCCAACCACACCATCAGTTTGTTTGAGCATGCTTCTGGGAGTTTTCTCATGCTGCACTTCATCCCTAAGGATGTGAGGGGAAAACACCCGCAGTCTATTTGCTGGCCATGGCTAGGGCAGTACCATGGAGAGGTCTGTGCGTCTTACAGTAAATTCTCCGAGCTGTCTCCTCTCCCCTCTTGGATAGAGGAAGGACAGAGAGTTTTCAAAAGCATCTTAATACCTTGGCCGAGTGAAAAACAGTTACCATCAATATGATAGGTCCCCTGGCACTCCCAAATCCTGAAAATCACAGAGATTTCCTCAGATACTGTATCTGCAGTATACCTGCTCCCACAAAGAGTTAGCATTCATTTTGCTGAACGTGAGGCTGGTGGATTCTCTGTTTCTACCTTATTCCTAGCTTTAAATGATGCTATGAACGTTTTCTACCTACAAAGTCACGTTTATTCCTAAGAGGTTATCTCATACTTCCACAGATAAAATATTTGCAGAAATGTAATGAGAATATACAACATGCTCACTTTCGATTTCCATTTCAAACTTATCTGACTTGCTCTGAAACCCATCTCAAAAGGTGGTGGGATTTGGACAATTGACCAACCTGCAAATGTCTTTCCACATATTGAAGTTGGGCAAAATCTTCTGTGTACCCCCTCCCCCAAATAAAATAAAATAAAATAAAATATATAAAACAATTCATCTTCAGAGCTCTGAGATCTTTTTGAATATCTGGCACACTTTTAATGGGTTAAAGGTAACTAATGTGCCTAGATCTCAATTCTTAGCATATACATAAGATTAGGAATATAAAACATGGTTTGGACACAATTTGAGAAGATTAGTCAAATCTTGACTGTGGCCTGCAAAGAGGTCAATTGTAGAGAAGCATGGCTAAGTCATGATGTTTAACCTGGATGACAGACACATCTACATACCTCTTCTGGGCACTGCTGAGCCCAACAGAAAAGGTTTCTTCTCTGTGAAGGCAGATATAATTTCTGTGTCGAGGTGGAGAGAGTGTTCCCCCCAAATTTTAGTTGTTCCAAGCAGTCACCACATCTTTCTTTCCCAAACCCTACTTCTAGTCTTCAATGTATTTGGCTCTGCAGCACAAGGGAAAACTAGAGAAGAGACAGAGCTACTTACCAGGAAACTTTTTCATCATAAATGAACTGTGAAAAAAAATAAAAAGAGTAGAAGATTAGACACACACCCTTCCATGTGTACACCGTGCTTTAAGACTGCTCGTCGTCCAGCTGGTGGCTCGTATGATGTAATCAGGGCCAGCCTGGCATGTGAAGTCCCTGTGAGTAAATCACCCTCTGTACTGGAGACATCTTTGGGTGGTATTAGTGGAAGGAGATGTTGGAGGCTGGGTGGGGTTGGGCCTGTGTGCTGGGAAAGTCGCTCAGGTAATCCCATCCCTCCTGGGCTATCCTTCCAACAGTGGGGTGCAGGGAATGGTGGCCATCTTGGTAAGTACAAGTCTGTGAGATTTTAGATCTGGAAGGGGATGAAGGAGCTTAGTGGGTACTTCCCAGTGTTAGTCCTGAAAGATTTCTGCACCTCTGTGTGCCATGTGTAATGTCTTCAGAGTTTTTTTTTTTTTTTGAGAGGTTTTCGCTATAGGATGCGTGCGCTTGCCAGACAGACAGAGAGAGACAGAGAGACAGAAAGCGAGAAATCACCCCCCAGGGGTGATGGCCACGCTGCAATCCCTTCTCCTCCATTCTCCTCTCGGGATCTGGGGCACGCACGCACATGCGCCCGGCGTGAGTTCTAAGCCACCGGGTCCGGGATGCGAACTGCGGTTGACTATGTGGGAGTCCAGCGACATAGCCATTACGCTAACTGCTGGTTCCCGTCTTCAGATTTTTTAACGCAAGCATGTGGGCTTCCATGTACTCAATACTTTTCTTTTAATTGACCTCTCTCCATAAGAAAAAGTATTTTTAAAAAATTGTCTTATTTTAATTTTATTTATTCATCCCTTTATTTAAATTTGGCCAGAGAGAGAGAGACAGAGAGAGACAGAGAGAGAGAGAGAGAGAGAGGAAGTGAGGGAGTAAGCCACCAGGTCCAGGACTTGAACCATCGTCAGTCACGTGGGAATGTCCAGTGCTTTAACTAGCTATGTCGCTGGACGTCCCATAAAGAAATATTTTTACGGGACCAGCAGTTAGCGTAATGACTATGTCGCTGGACTCTCATGTAGTCAACTGTGGTTCAAGTCCCAGACCCGGTGGCTTAAACTCATGCCGGGCACGTGTGTGTGCGTGCCCAAGATCCCAAGAGGAGAATGGAGGAGAAGGGATTGCACGATGACCATCCTCCCATGGGGGGGGTGGGGGGTGGGGGTGATTTCTTGCTTTCTGTCTCTCTGTCTCTCTCTTTCTGTTTTTTTTTTTTTTTTTTTTTTTGAAAGGTTTTTTTATAGGGAGCCTGTCAATCACGGGTCCGAGACGTGAACCACGGTCGACTACGTGGGAGTCCAGCGACATGGCCATTACACTAACTGCTGGTTCCCTCTTTCTGGTGAGCACATGTGCCCTATAGCAAAAACCTCTCCAAAAAAAAAAAAAAAAAAGTTTTTAAAAAAGCTTTACATCACAACCAGAGGTGGAGGATCAGTACCTCTTATCACATGTAAAGGGTGTCCCTGAGAAATAAAAATAATAATAAGAAACTGTGTTTGCAGATCCTGGGAAGACACTATTGACTGTCCAAGCCCTGGGCTCAAGGCCTGCCCGATTGTTAAGGAAGGATAATAGCACAAATTTAGAAGCTCTGAAAGCTGCACAGGTGCCAAACTATATTCTTCCTCAATTTGGACTGAAAGGGAATATAAGTCTTCAAAAAGTTAATGGAAACCATATTATTATGAAAAAAACTATGTATGGATTTCGATTTTTTTGCAGCCAAAATAAACTGATACTTTAATTTATTCATTTTTTCCATGAACTTTCTGAAGTACCCTCATACAGAAAGAAGACACAATGGGATTTAATTTATGTAGGCTTGGTTCATATGCCATTTAAAATAATTTTTTACTTTGGTCAGGAGATTGGGGGAACCAGCAGTTAGCGTAATGGCTATGTCGCTGGACTCCCACGTAGTCGACCGCGGTTTGCGTCCTGGACCTGGTGGCTTAGAACTCATGCCGGGTGCGTGTGCGTGCGTGCCCAAGATCCCGAGAGGAGAATGGAGGAGAAGGGATTGCGGCGTGACCATCCCCCCTGGGGGGTGATTTCTCGCTTTCTGTCTCTATGTCTCTCTCTGTGTGTCTGGCGAGCGCACGCGCCCTATAGCAAAAACCTCTCCAAAAAAAAAAAAAAAAAAAAAAGGAGATTGGTATAATCCTTTGATTTATATAAGGAAACCGAACTGCAGAAACAGATAATTTTTTCTAAAGTGATTCGATTTGCTTCAGAATTGCTTCTAGAACACAGCCCTGCCCTTAATTTGGGGCTCTTTCTCTGTCACACCGATCTGCCCGGATGACATGTTGAAACCAAATGGGCATGTCAACAAGGAGTTTTCCTTGTAGGAAAATGCACATTATGAAAAAACTATGTGTGGATTTCAAAATTTGTTAAGACCAACATAAACTCACTCTTTGATTCCATGTTTCCATGGACTCTGCAAAGTCCCCTCCTATTTTATTCAAACAGGAAGTTGCACACCTGGTCTATAGCTCGCTCTTTCCACGCTCATGAAATACGCCTGGCTCTGAGTGTGCTCCCGAGTGGCTTCTGCTTCACAGGCAGTGGCTTTTGGAAGCTCTGAGGGAAGGACTTGCAGGACGGTTTGGGTGTAGGGTGTTGGTATGGCATGGAAATGGCAAACTTAGCCCACAATGTGGGCATCACCTTGGTTCCCAGCGACTGCTCAGATAGCTTTTGGTTGGGTAGAGATGTGAGCACATCTCAAAGGCAGGCAAGGTGTGGCTCTCACAAGGCAAAAAAGGAACTCTCTTCAACAAGCTTGAAGCTCAAAGAGAAAGATGAGGTGAAAAGCACATTCTGGCTTGTAACTCGTTCTTCCTAACAAGCCACAGAGAAGAGGTTGACATCATTTTTTTTTGGAAAGATTTTCACTGTAGGGTGCGTGCACTCGCCAGACAGACAGAGAGAGATATAGAGACAGAAAGCGAGAAATCACCCCCCAGGAGGGATGGTCACGCCGCAATCCCTTCTTCTCCATTCTCCTCTCGGGATCTTGGGCACGCACGCACACGCGCCCGGCGTGAGTTTTAAGCCACCGGGTCCGGGACACGAACCGCGGTCGACTACGTGGGAGTCCAGCGACATAGCCATTACGCTAACTGCTGGTTCCCGGTTGACATCACTTTTTAAAAAGAAGTATTTATTTAATTTTTATTTCTTCTTCTTCTTTGTTTAACATTTCCTATAGGACACATACACTCATGAGAGAGAGAGGAAGAGAATGAGAAAGCAAGCCACCAGATCTGGGACTTGAACTGTGGTTAGTCATGTGGGAGTCCAGCGCCCTAACGACCACACCACCTGCTGGCTCTGATTGGCATCGTTTTTGCTACTCTCATCTTTGTTGTGAAATTCAACAGGTTGGCATTTAGATGGAAATGTCACACCATAATGGGAAGAGAATTGAAGAAACTAGAAAAACAGTCCCATAAGTCAGGCTGGATGGTACAGAATCCATTCCCAGTTGTTTTGTATAATCAATGGCTTAAAAGAAAATCATTGTCAGAAGTCAAGGAACAGAGGAAATTATTTAAGATGAAAAACATTTTCTATTAATTGAAGTTAATTCAATATTAGTCTTAGCAACAGGGTAGAGCAATCAATTCGTAGCCACTTAAGAGAACATGAGCTACTGGAAAAAGAGTTTATTAGACAAGGCCAATTTAATTTTCTTCTATCAAGGAAGGTGGATAATAGCACTTAATATGAAAGCAGCTTTTAGGAAGCGCTAAAAGAGTAATACATAGAGTAATCTATGAGATCTTCCTGATGGGAGGGGGCACACATCCTGTGAAGGAACTCTGAGGATTCACTCATCCTGTGTGAAAGTTCCCTTTGTACACTTTCTAGTAACCAGCCCTGAGACTGACATGGTGTAAGCTATTGATTATTTCAATGATCATATTAAAGAAAAAAAAAGCTGAAGGAAATTAATTTTATGAAGGACCTAAACTGAGAACAGAATTTACATGGAGCACAATAAATCAGAGAAATAGTTGGGGACAGACCTGGGTGAGCCTGGGCAAGATATGGAACCAGGGAGAAAGTCTCATGAGCCTGGAGTCAAGAGGGCATGGGGATAAATAAGGAGTTGGATATAAGATTGGGGGGGGGGCAAGCAGGTGGCGTGGTGGTTATGGTGCTGGACTCCCACATGACCGACTACAGTTTGAGTCCTGGATCTGGCAGCTTGCGTTCTCACTCTTCCTCTCTCTCTCTCTGGTCAGATTAAAATAAAACAAATAAATAAATAACATAAATACTTCTTTAAAAAAACTATCAAGGGGGAAGACATGAAAAGAGAAACACTACAAGTACTGATACATGGTAGAGGTCCAGGAACATCCAGAGAACAGATAAGAACAGATAAGAACAGATAAGATTTTCCTTTGGTCTCTCTGCCCACCCCCCCCATCACTCATGCCTGATTGCTATGGGGAGAAGGCCTTTGCAAAGCCCAGAGGCTTTAGCTAACCTATGGCTGATGAGCAAACACGGTTCTGGCTTATCCTCCTTTAAGAGGATTGTGTAGAGAAATGAGAGGACTCGGGACCAGCAGTTGGCATAATGGCTATATTGCTGGACTCCCATGTAGTCAACAGAAGCTTGAGTCCCGGACCTGGAGGCTTAAACTCACGCCAGGCACGTGTGCATGCATGCCCAAGATCCCGAGAGGAGAACGGAGGAGAAGGGATTGCGGTGTGGCCATTCTCCCTGGGGGGTGATTTCTCGCTTT